GCTTATTAGCCTTTTATTATATAGGATGTGTAAACTCCCCACATATAATTTTGTGATTAATATTACTGAGGTTAAGAAACAGGTCCAAGTACCTAAAATACCTCAAAGTACCTAAAATCAAAATACCTACAATAAACACTCTATTTGGGTATGAGCACCTATCTTGTCTTTATGGTTACCTATTAAGAATGCTTGACTCCCTCAGATGAAACAGTATTTTACTGAAGGTCCACAAATCATTACTGGTGCTGAAAAAATGCAACATAGTTCTTGGCCTGTCTATGGTAGATCTTAAATATTTGTTAACCAATAATGTAATCATGCTGAGAAAACAGTAGTTGCTTGGATCAGTCTTCTAGGAGATTTATTTTTATTTCATTTTGTGTAACTGCAATTAATTTATCACAGTTACCATTTCATACTCCACAGGGCAGCACTTGAACTGGCCTCTTTTAGTGATCTCCATTGTTGCCATATGACTTTATAAAAGAAGGTTTTATTTTCATAGTGTTAGTGGGGATATAAAAGTAGTACAACCTCTTTAGAGACCAATTTGTTAAGTCTATTAATAAAACAAAATATGGCCTTTAATTAAGCAATTCCACTTCTAGAAACTTATACCTGCACAAGTTGAATAGACAAAGCTGAGTGGACAAGGATAGTCCAGGCTATATTGTGTATGAACTGAAAAACTGGCAATAACCTAAATGTTCATAGGGAGGGTTACATGAATTATGATGCATCTAGCTGATGGAATTCTCTGCAGCCATTTTTTAAAAAAAGAATAATGTAAACTTTCTATATTACAACAGAAAGGCCCTTCAAGGAATATTAAGTGAAAAGAGAAAAGTTGAATGATAATAATAATTAAAATAATAATAGTTATTATAAACACTTATAAAGTGTGTACTATGTTTTACGTACTTTACCATTAGTAACACATTTAATGCTCATCACCACCTTGAGGTGCATACTATTGTTATCCCATTTTACAGATGAGGAAACTGAAGCACAGTAATATCAAGTGACTTGCCCAAGGTTGCAAAATTGTGTCAGAGGCAGTGTCTGGTTTGAGAATCAGTGTTCTCACCTAGTTCTTTCCATGAATGTTAAGAAATGAAAATACATGTAAGTATTTTTGTGTAGGGATGTGTATGTATATGTGTTCATATATGCACAGAAAATGGCTCTAAGCATAGCCTCTTAACTGCTAGCAATTGCTTCCTCTGAGAGGGGGTTGGGGTGGGAGAGGAAGAGGAGAAGATACGTGATATGTTTTTTTTGCTTGTTTACTTTTGTTATGAGGGACATTAATCTATACTAATAAAACGGTAATATGCTAATTAGACCAGATAGACTGGATGTCTTCTGAATGTCCTTCCAGACAAAGCCACAGTGGCAGGGGCTGAGGTAGAGGTGATTAGGGGTGATCAGGCCAGCAGGGGAGAGCAGTTAGGGGCAATCAGGCAGGCAGGCAGAGTGGTTAGGGGCGATCAGGCAGGAAGGCAGAGTGGTTAGGGGCAATCAGGCAGTCAGGCAGGTGAGCGGTTAGGAGCCAGCCATCCCAGATTGCGAGAGGGATGTCCGACTCCCTAAACCGGCAGTTAGACATCCCCCGAGGGGTCCTGGATTGGAGAGGGTGCAGGCCGGGCTGAGGGACCGCCCCTGTGCACGAATTTTGTGCACTGGGCCTCTAGTCCTATATAATAAAAGGCTAATATGCGAATTGAGCAGCAGAATGACCGGTTGCTATGATGCGCACTGACCACCAGGGTCAGACGCTCAACACAGGAGCTGCCCCCTAGTGGTCAGTGCGCTCCCACAAGGGGAGTGCTGCTCAGCCAGAAGCTATGGCAGCCATAGCCATCAGTTGGACACCCCCTGAGGGCTCCCAGACTGTGAGGGGGCATAGGCCGGGCTGAGGGACTCCCCCCCAAGTACACGAATCTCGTGCACCGGGCCTCTAGTATTTTATAATAATTTTTTCACAAGGGATGTTTCTCAAAATGTAACTCTAGTTATTTTCCTTCTGTTGCTAGCAGTTAAAGAAATTTGGCCATTTTCATCACTGTTAAAAAGTTCTATCATTCATTGGTTCACTTAATACAAACAAGTAAACTGTCCTAGGTGTCCCTGCCTTTCCCAGTTCTCAAGAAGTTCACTGTCTAGTGGAACAGATTGACATAAAAAAATGTAATTCCAGAGCCTCTATAAAGGGGACGCAGAAAGATGGGGTGGGAGGGGCACAAAGGAGAGATGTCAATTCTGTGGAGAGCAGTGTGAAGGAAGGCACCCAGAGAGGAGGTAATGTTTTGCCTAAATACTGAATGAAAAGTAAGAGTTCTCAGGAGACAGGGGTCAGGGAGAGAGAAAAAGCATCCCAAATGGAGGGAATGATGAGAGTAAACACAGAAGTAAAGACACTGGAACCCACCTTGTTCTTTAGGGGAATGGTTGTAGTTTGACTTAGCTGCAGCTTAGCAAGAGAAATATGAGCGTTGTCTGCCTCCGGAGTTGTGGGCAGGAGCCACATTACCTAAGCCCTGTGAGCCATGTTACGAGCTTCATCCCATGTACCACATGTTCCTAAGGAACATTAGAAGAATCAGGTGTTCCCAGAATAAGTCAAAGATATAGATCAAAAGATGCATACAATGGAAGGACATTCTGACACATGCCACATGTAGATGAACTCGAAAACATGCTAAAAGAAAGGTTAGATACCAAAGGACAAATATTGTTATGATTCCATTTATATGAGGTACCTAGAATAGTCAACTTCTTAGAGACTGAGAGTAGAATAGTGGTTCCTAGAGGATGGGGGCAGTTACTGTTTAGTGTTACATAATTTCAATTTGAGATGATGAAAATGTGCTGGAGATGAGCTGGAGATGGGTAATGGTGTGAGTTGCACAATAATGTCCGTGTACTGAATGCTACCGAACTGTACACTCAAAAAGTCTTAAAATAATACATTTTATATGATGCATATTTTACAATTAAAAAACAGGTTAAAATGGTAAATTTATGTTATGCATATTTTTACAATTGAGATATATGGGAAAAAGAGATAAAGATATAGACAAAAATATTTAGGGAAATAATTCTTTTTCTTTCCTGACATTAAAATTAGGTACGCCATTTAAAAACAAACAAAAACATCTTTTATTGATTTTAGAGAGGAAGGGAGAAGGAAAGAGTGATGGAAACATCAATGATGAAAGAATCATTGGTGGGCTTCTCCCGCAGCCTCTGCCCCTCATCAGAGATGGAGCCCACAACCTGGGCACGTGCTCCTGACGGGAATCAAACCCCGGACTCTTCAGGCCGCGGGCCTATGCTCTATCCATTGAGCCAAACCCGCTAGGGCAGGCATGTCATTTATTTGTTTAAGCTGATAATAATGATTTGTTTCTGTTATACAATAATGGCTATCGTTTACTGGAAACAAGCTCTGTGCTAGCTTTACCTTCATAGAGATGGAGAGGTGCAGGCTGAGAGAGCTCAGCGAACTCGCCCAAGAGCACACAGCTAGTGAGGGGGCATTTCTAGGAAACCTGGGATTGGAACTCAGCTCCCAACACCCTGCTCTTGCACCAGCCCACAGGGTGCTTGATTATCTTGCTACATTTTTGGACATGTCAATATTTTTCTTTAAAAATTCTCCCATGATCTGCCACGAGTGTAGGTTTGATGTTTTCTGAGTTGGGAACATGTAAAAAGCCTGAGACTATGCAGAATGAAAAGTTGAGTGTTTACTTTATTGATTGATTGATTGAGGTATTACATATGTGTCCTTATCACCCCAGAGCAGCCGTGGGCAAACTACGGCCCATTTGAAATGAATAAAACAAACAAAAAAAAGACCGTAACCTTTTATGTAATGATGTTTACTTTGAATTTATATTAGTTCACACAAACACTCCATCCATGCTTTTGTTCCGGCCCTCCGGTCCAGTTTAAGAACCCATTGTGGATGGCGGCATAGAAAAACACCGGAAATTGCTGCCTCCGACAACAACTTCAAAAATACAACTAAAAGGGAGAACGGTCATCATCCAGAACCACAGGAAGGCTGGCTGAGTGGAAACTCTACAACTAGAAGGGAAGAGAAGAGCACACAGACTCAGAGGAACTACGAAAGTGAAGTGCAGAGGTACAGGAGGCTCCGGCGCGCGTGGAAAGGGGCGGGCACCTGAGGATGCGGCTGTCTTTTTGAATCGGGGAGGGGAGTCACAAGCTCCCGACTGCTCTGAACTCCGGTTCCGGGAAGTCTCTGGGGACCCAGGGACTCATACGGGGGAGAAAACTGGGACTGTCTGGGCAGCAGGGCAGGAACTCCGGACCTTGAGGGCAGCTTTTCCCCTCAGAGGGTGCTTGCAGCAATTACCCGGGGACACTGAGATGCAGGCCCCCTTTAGGGCAGGGGCTGAGGATCAGCCATAGCTTCTTTTCCGCCCTGTTGATTCCCTGAGACCCCGCCCCACCCAGGCTGTGGCAGAGGCTTTTGCATATGAATGCCCTGGCCCTTTGCAATCTGAAAATTACCTAACAAATCACAGCTGGGCCAGACAGACCCAGAACTTCCAAGAGAAGGCCCT